ACTACTGGTGAAGTCCAGGGGCTGTATGATTTCTTTATTATCCCATCTTTTAATAATCGTTGTATTTCTTCTTCAATGTATTTTTGATTTGCAGGGTTTGTCCTATAATATTGCTGTCTAATTGGTTTAACATTTTCTTCTATTTCTATTTCATGTCTAATAATATTAGTTCTTCCTAATTAATATATTTCTTCTACAAATATTTCTTCATATTGTTTTATTAATTTATTGAAATCCTCTTTTTGTTCTGGTTTTAATTCTCCTACTTTGAATTCTTCAGGTTTTACAATATATCTATTTGATAATAATTCTCTTATTTCTAGTTCCTGTTCCAAATCACTTTCTTCATCATCTATTTCATCCGAGTGTGGTCAATCCTGTTTTGATTTATAATTTCCTTGAAAAAGAACTTGTTCTTCTTCATCATTACTTTCATAATCATCATCACTTTCATAATTATCTTCTGTTTGTTTATATGTTGCTGTAGTCTTGATACTTTGATTTCTCCAGTTAAGAGTTAATTCTTGATTTTTTCAGTCATAACTAGCTCCTGCTTTCATCATCTAATCATTTCCTAATAATATATAATATGCTTCAGTTTTCATTACTTCCACATTAATTGGTATTGTTTTTCCCTCAATCTCAATAGGGAAATCTCTAATTCTTCCTAAAGATTCATTCTTTTCTCTATTCGCTAATATAATTTTACAATTGGTTGCTTCTTCTATATCATACTGTAATTGTTCCATGGTACTTTCTGAAATTATGCTAGTGGCTACTTCACTATTGATAGTAGCTGGTACTTTAAATCCATTTACCATTACTTCACATTCTAGGGTGGTTGTTTTTGTATTATTATTTTGGCTTGCTAATTTTGCAACAGTTTCTTTTGGTGTTCGTAATACTTCTTTCAATTTCTTTCTTTCTTGAAAACTAATTTTTAATAATTGTGATAATGTAATTTCTAATTTTTGTTCTTGCAATTTTTTTATTAAGTTGAATTCAGATCCCTTTAATAATTCTGGTTGTTTTCTTTCTTTAAATAGCTTTTCAGGAGATTTTATTATTTTCTTATTTTTATTTGAAGTCCATTCTATACATGTTCCCAAAATTGATTTTGGATTTTTGAGGTATTTCGACTTTTTGAGATTTATGTAAAATCTATTCTATATATGGAAGTAAAAAAAGTAC